GTGTAAATTGGAATGTATAGAGTGTAGTTCTATACAATTTTAACAAAATTATATAATAATGATCGTTGATTACCGTTCTTTATGCAACTGAAAAATAAATATAATGAAAAAAGGTTTAAAACACCCACGAAGTAACGTCTTTAGCAAATTTTTTTTATTTTTTTTTATTTTCTGCATAATTTACAATCTGTTCCTATCGGAACAATAAGCAAATGGTGTCAACAGATACATTTCCGACGTGAACGTTTTATGACATTGAAAAATTTCATTTACAAAATCGGTATGGCAGATCTAAAGTACTCTCTCTCCTCAGTCTATACACATGCTCACTGTTATCTAGAAGGCTTGTTGAGAGGTGATTTGGGTGGTTGTACAATCTTCTCTGGTATGCTATGCTCTTCGTGGCGATTACTTCCTCCAGCGGGACGATGTCGAGGTCTCTGTATATCGTCTTGTTTGTCACGTACCATGGTGCGTTGCATAGTTTTCTTAGTGTTTTAGCTTCGAATCTTTAGAAAATGAACAAAATTCCGCGTTTGCAACCGTTCCGTGGCCAAGGCTACTCTCCTTGACGTTCGAGTAATCCTCATGGAAACGCAGTCTATTTCCGGTCTCGCCCGTTACAGGCCCGCAAACGGACTCGCTACGTCACGCCGCCTTTTCCGCCTGGGACAGCGCCTGGTGAAAGGAGATACGTCCTAGAAGAGGTCGCCGGAGACAAACGAAGACATACAAGAGAACTAAGGACACGTTACCGTGTATTGAAATGAGGACAAAAAAGAAGCAAAGTGCGGACGAGCTTGTTAAATTAGTTAATGTACGAAAGCATAAAATATTAACCGGTAACTAGGGAAATAAATTGCACAAGAAGTGAAGAAGTAAATTAACAAAGAAACAAACAATTAGGACGAATCTAGTGACAAAAACATCATACTCTCATCCCACACACATTTAGAAGATGAGAATCGATTGATTATTTCCTGTTTCCGGGCGAATCTCCTGCAATGGTCATTAGTCCCGTTAGTGTAGTGCATGTTTTATCACGGGAGATCTCGGCGATCTTACCTTGCTGGATGATGAACTCCGGCGCCGTCCTACACGTCGGCTGAAGAGATTTCCCCATCCAGGTCTCTCACCATCGGGACACCGCCCCAGCCGAATCACGCTTTAAGCTCCCGACAGGTCTCCAGCGGTAGTGTAGTGCATGTAAGAGTGTGTGTAAGTAAGGGATGATGGAAAAGGAAGAAAATATCGCGCGAGATCCGCGGCCAGTTTCTTAAGGTACTGCTTATCTGAGACACTACGGAAAACTACCGACCAGAGCAGCCAGCCGCAAGAATTGCCCTCCAGGCAGCATGCGAATTCGACCTAGCTGCCATCACCGAGACTCGAACCATAGGACCTCTTAGTCAGAGGTGCTGCAGTGACACCATTTGATACCTTGAGCCACTTTGAGCCAGACGTGCGGATGAGGAGAAACATAAGATAGAGAGAGGCCGTTAGAACACGTCAAAACTATTTACAACGAACTATAAAACGAAGAAAAGCGAGGGTTATCTCGCAACACGCGAACGAATCGTTCCAATGCCGAAGTCATCAGATACAGTAGAAACTGGATACAGCACGAAAGTATTGATGCGTTTTCTCTGCACTTTCTACCAAAACATCCAAAGATCGACTTGTCTGCTTTTATTTCGAATAATTATCTATACAATTTGACTGAAAATAAAGAACATTCCAATTCTCCGAACTTTTTAGATTTCTCATAAATTGCTCGTGCGGAAGTAATCAGATGTGACGTCCAATTGGAGTCTCGTTTAAATCAATTTCTATATATGAAGTAATACTGGAGATTTTTGTCTTTGCAAATGCATATGGAAATTAATCTTTGTTTTGAAAATACATATCTCTATTACTCACCAAATATTTTGATTGTTTCTTAATAGTAATAGTAAACATAGAGTCGTAAAACCGTCAGTAAAATATTTCGTATTTAATGTTGTACTTTAATAGAGTGTCTTGTTTTTAAATTGACATGCGTCTTCGACACTCTTTTGTAAAACCAATAATTTTATAACATTTGAATCATTTATCGTAATTGTATTCCTCTTGAGCATTCAAAGTTTTGTATTAATACAGGAAATAAATACTACTGTTTTTGGAAAATGTGTTTTATTCCCTTATTTTGTAGTTTTAGTATGAGTAAATCGATATTTTCAGTTCATTGTTGGGAGTCTCATATAAAATTCTCGTCAATATACAAATTATTTGACCTGTAAGAGACATCTTGCGTCGCAATGACATACTAATCGAAAACAAATTGCATAAAAACGTTTATTTAGTGTTTGGTCCCGACGGACAAACAAAGTCGCAGCAGATGCTATGTTATCGATTGTGTACGTAAGCTTCCGCGGCTCGAATCCATGAATTCTCGGCTGTCCGGGAGACGGCACTGCTGCGACTTGTTTGTCGTCGGGACGACCTAAATAACTTTTTATGCAATTTGTTTTCATTAGTATGTCATTGCGACGCAAGATGTCTTTACAGGTCAAATAATTTGTATATTGACGGATTTTATATGAGTACTCCCCAACAATGAACTGAAAATATCGATTTACTCATACTAAACTACAAAAATAAGGGAATAAAACACCAATTTTCCAAAAACAAGTAGTACTTATTTGCTGTATTAATACATCAAACTTTGAATGCTAAGAGGAATACAATTACGATAAATGATTAAAATGTTATAAATAACTTATTGGTTTTTACAAAAGAGTGTGCGAAGACGCATGTCAATTTAAAAACAAGACACTCTATTAAAGTAACACATTAATACGAAATTCACTGACGGTGTTTACGACTCCTATGTTTTACTATTACTATTAAGAAACAATCAAGAATTTGGTGAGTAATAGAGATATGTATTTTCAAAACAAAGATTAATTTCCATATGCATTTGCAAAGACAAAAATCTCAGTATTACTTCATATATAGATAATTGATTTAAAACGAGACTCCCAATTGGACGTCACATCTGATTCATCGCACAAGCAATTTATGAGAAATCTAAAAAGTTCAGAGAATTGGAATGTTTTTATTTTTCAGTCAAATTGTATAGATAATTATTCGAAATAAAAGCAAGACAAGTCGATTCTTGGAATTTTTTGGTAGAGAAGTGCAGAGAAAACGCATCAAGACTTTTCGTTGCTGTATCAGTTTCTACTGTATCTATTGACTTCGGCATTGGAACGATTCGTTCGCGTGTGCGTTAGATAACCCTCGCTTTTCTTCGTTTTATAGTTCGTTGTAAATAGTTTTGACGTGGTTTCTAACGGCCCTCTCTATCTTATGTTTTCTCCTCATCCGACTCTGCTCAATAGTGGCTCATAGTAACAAATGGTGTCACTTGCGCAGCACTTGAACTAAAGGTCCTACTGTTCGAGTCTCGGTGATGGCAGCTAGGTCGAATTCGCATGCTGCTGAGAGGGCATTCTTGGCGCTGGTGCTTGTTCGGGTAGTTATTTCCGTCTGTTTCTCAGTAAATAGCAGTCCATTAAGAACTGGCCGGCGGATACTCGCGTGCGTATTTTCTTGCCTTTTCCATCATCCCTGTACATATTCCACAACACTCTGTACATCGACTCCTTCGCATCAGCCGGAAACTGTATGGCGAGCTATGATGGCGTGAGCCGGCTGGGAGCGGTGAACACGATGTTGGACGAGAACTGGATGTAGAGGGAAATCTCTATCAACGCACGTGTAGGACGCGCCGGAGTTCAACCATCTCAGCAGTAAGATTCGGCGAGATCTCCGCGTTAGTAAACACATGGCAGCTCACTAAGCGGGACGTAAGTGACCTATTGGCAGGAGATCTTCGGCCGAAAGCATGAAATAAGCAAATCGATCTCATCTTATAAAATTGGTTTGTAAGAGACGAAGGTATGATGTTTTTGTCACTTAGATTCGTCAATTGTTTGTTTCTTTGTTAATTTATTTCTTCACTTATTTACCCCAATTTATTCCCTAGTTGCGGGTTAATAATGTATGTTTCGTACATACTAATTTAATATGTCGCTGCGCCTACTCTTGGCTTCTTTTGTCCTATATTCATTTATAAAGACGCTAACGGTCCGTGTATTCTCTTGTATTTCTTTCGTTTGACTTCCGGCGACGTCTTTTAGACGTGTCTCCTTTCACCCGTTCTGACGCGCTGCCCAAGGCGGAAAAGCGACGTGACGTACTGAGTCTTTGCGGGCCTTAACGGGCGGACCAATGACTGCGTTTCCATGTGGATTACTCCAACGTACATGGAGTGCACCTTGGCCACGAACTGGTTGCAAACGCGGAATTTTGTCTTTATTCTGCTAGTGATTGTACTACTTCGTGCGGTGTTTTTAACCATTTTTTTATTATCTCCTGATTTTCGTTAGTGCAAAGAACCAACGTAATTCACAGCCCAGAATCATTTTCATATTTTATGTTCAATTGTAACTAGAACTACAAATTAAGCACTCATCGCATAGAATTTACCTATATTTTCAGCACATTAATTTTACACCATAGACGCACTTAATTCATTACATGAAACGCGTAATTACCATTACACTGCACGGTATGAGGTTCAGCAATATTCTTAGTGTCACATATGATTTATCTGTTGATTATGTAATTCTGTCGCGATAACTCTTAGACCAGCACTACTCGCGTCCTCGTACTGCATTTTGGCAGAGCAATAAACATATCTCTCAACGCATCAACATCTCAGCGCTCGCTCTTCTGCCATCTGTGCTTTCACCTACAGTCCTTTCCTGATACTTCGTACGATCCGTTCTCTCGTGTCGTACACCACCGCTTCAGCCATTCGACTCGCACTAATAGCCCTACTCCTCGCTATTCTCGGGCCGTCACTCGGCCTTTCGCTTCCTCACACGCAGATGACTCACTGCTCCGCCTACTCGCACCTCTTCCTCGACCTCTCATCCGCCCTTCGCACACACGTATTCTGTAGTCATTCCTATGTAAAGCTCAGCCCTAACGAAATGCAAATCTTCACTCGCTTGCCCTAGTCCTCTGATCTGCTCATGCCCTCTGAAGCACAAAAAACTTAATTTCAATCAACAGTAATAATCTATATAAGTTTAGATCAAACAATACGAATTCATCATTTTTCTGACGATCCCTGTCTCCGTGATAAACTATGACAAATTGAGCATTAAACTACTAGGTCAATTATATTTTTCGCTCTCATATGTCCTTTGCTCATAAAGTGAACTGTTACTAATCCTAAGACACGAATGCACATAATATTTTGATACTTTTTCAATTACGTCAAGGTCCTAATTTAGTTCAGATCAGACTTCGTTTGAGTACTCACGAGACATACATCTGCTACATCTCCTATCTTTTTTGCTATCTTTTTTTTGACTTTTTTTGGCAGATTTCTTTATTTTTTTTCACTTTTTTTTTTTTGTTCATTTTGCTCTAAGTCCCAAAATTTATTTTTTAAGTTTTTTTTACTTTTGGAGGACTTCCAGCGAGGTGCGTGCCGAGAAAAATAATTTTGTATTCGTTTCAATATTTATCTAATAAAATTTATATTAAAATCTAAAATGGTATCAGTCGTAGTGTGCAAACAACTTACCGCTGTCAAGAAATGTATTTAGTGAATGTAAAATAAGTGAGCATGGCGTTGGCTTTATGCATGTTGGGAAGAAATGTGTTCATCATTTCTGTTCCTTTAGACAATATCTTATTTGACATGATTTATTGTTTTTTATGTTTAATTATGTCAATTTCCTGAAAATATGAGTTATTTTCGAGTACTTTTTGCTTCAATGATAAAGGGAGTAGATCTGTTTTTCGGGAATCATTGTAATTTCTTCTCGTAATTTACAGTCCTTATAAAAGTGGCTGTTTTCCAATTTGGGCGCATACACTGTATTTTTGAAATTAGAAAAAAAAATAATTGAGCGAACCCACAATATGTATATATAATAGAATATTTTTCCTTTATTGAAATCCTGTTTAAAAAAAAATGAGATTCTTTCAATATAGTGCTGGCACAATGATCATATAATAGTGATATATGTTTCGGCGTATTTTGCTTGAAGAAAAGGTGTGCGATTTATGTGGTTTTTTGTCAAGAAGATCTACTTTTTCTTAAATATTTCCCTTCGGTATGCACAAAGACGCTAAAAATTTGGCGGACATGCCTATTTTTGTAGAACTCTCCGAATTTGAAAAATGCAAAGTTACAAAGAAAGCGAGAAAAAGTTGACTTGTTGTAGCACTTCTAAGTTATAAATTCTAATTAGTATCTCATCATCAGCAACCCTAATTAGCGACTAAGTTATTCATATCTTTAGTGTTATAAGTCGAATATCGTATTTATCATAATTGGCTGATTGACTAACGTGACTGATACGCTTGCAGAACATAAATTTTAACGCTCGAAGGTATAGGAACAGCGAAACTACTGGGGTGATTCTGCTCATTGCAATTTAATGTTGCATTGCTAATGTGATCTGAAGCCGGGCGATCGATAGTGGACGCTTGTGCATGGGACGATTGGCAGTGATCTTACTAAGCGCTTGTATGCGAATTCCACGATCGGCACTCGGAACCTAGGCCTCCTGGTCATTGCAGCTCGGCATGTGAATGAAGTTGATAGCCTGAGCGTCCTTCATTCGATTCTTATTTAATATAGCTTTGCAACGAGGTGGTTATGTAGCCTGAGCTAAGATAATGTACGGTTCGGCATTATTAATATTTTAATTCCTTAATACAAAGAGACGGGTAACGGCAATTTGGTTGTGTTCCAATGAGCTTCAAATTCAATACATTTTTCGCAACAGTTTAGTGGATATACCCCGACGAATCAATTAATGAAAAATTGTAGCAGCAATCAGAAATTTAGAAATTCAAACATTTTAGATTGCATAGTAACATCGTTTCAGTTCCAAGACTTAAAAAATACCAAGGAATACATGAAGGTTGGATGCTTTAAGTTTACATCTTATGTTTAAAATGTACTATAACTTATTCAGGCGGAAAGTAGTTTCCATGCATAATTAATTTTAAGAGGAATGGAAGTGGTCACGGAATTATCGTAGTAACATTATAGTCGCAAGCAAATCTCTCTGGATGTCTAAATCAGCATACCCGACCAAAAGATCATTGATATGACAACAATACGAGTATCATGGTTGGCTGATATATCTTCACTTTGCTAATACGTCATTTTCTAAACTGTGACTCTTTGCAAAGATGACACACGTGATCATCTGAGAAACGCGCTCGCGGTAATCTGTAAGTAACGGGTGATCCGTATAGCCGTTCGGTAATCTTCATTCTAGAATACCTCAGCTGAAACGGAATGCTTGCATCGCTAGGTCATCTTCAAGCTCCGGACATATTTCGCTTGGATGCCTCGGGTAGTGACTTTGGAAGTAAGTAGGAGTATTATACCGTAAGTAAGATATGGCATTTAATGCCTGTTACATTTATCTTTTGTGAGTTTTGTGTTTGTGGCGAGAATACTGAAAGTATTACATGATAGAACCAAACTCGGATTACGATCACCCGTGGCACATATAGTCGAAGTTATAAAAAAACAAAAAAAAATCTTTACGAAGGCTGGTGTCGGTAGAACTACATGGGTTTCGTGAGCTATCGTTAAGTTCTTATGTAGTACTTTCTATAAAAAATGTCACATGTCGAGCGGAGTGTGTGTTGCCTCTGACCAAAAAGCAATGTATCATGCACATAGGAGCAATCTATATACAGAAGGCAAGAGCGCAGTGTTCTCCATTGTGGGTTAATTTCCTTAAAACATCACTAAACGGAAACACAGGAACATAGGTGTGGTCTCTATAAATGTGTTTCAAGGCACTTGCGGCTCGAGAACTTGCTCGAATAAAAAGCCTAATTACACTTCTTAGAAAGCGTAGCGATTAGCTTCCCGTTATCTGCACGTCCAAAATATCTTGGTCTCTATGGGTGGTTTCTTATTCATATCAAGACTGCTTCGACATAACTGGGCATGAGAGACTAGACCGGTGTGACATAAGAAACCATCTGAAAATCGAGATCTGGTGGGCGACTTACATGTCAGACCGTGCTTTTTGTTAACTCTGTTTTTTATGTGAATTCATTTGGAATCAGATATTTATTCTCGAGCAGTTGTGAAAATATGCGCGATTGGAAAAAAGGAGAGTGACATAAATGATGTATGTATCATGTAATGTTGGTATTCACTGTTGTAGGCGAATAAACAAGAAATGAGTCCTCTGTACATATATTATAGTAATTACACCCCTTTTTAATTAGATAATGGAGGTGGATGTAATATTCATAGTGCAAAATTAGTGCGTTTATGTGTATTGGTGTGGGGATTTATGATATATTAGACTGAAAATTAACGGTTAATGTATTGTACTTCGTGTGATAGTTCAGAGTGTTTACAGAAGAGAGACGTATTGATTTCCTTTATTGTGGAGTGGATAGTTTGCGAGGTTTGTCTTATATTAGTTTTCTTTACACCGATGGCTTTATAGGTAACCTATACTAGTATCTAACCCTATCTCTAAGGCCTGCAATTCTCATCTCTTATATCCAATCTGCTCATCTATAGGTTTTTGACTGTTGCACTGTTAAAATCGATTTCGGAGAGACCTCATGCTAGGGCATTTCTGTTAAAAGTGATATTAAGGTTGTACGATGAATAATATATTATATTATCTTCTCTTTCTATATTTTTTGATCATGTGTGACAAAAAGTAGAATATTATATAGATTTAATTAGATATTTTTCTCCATCAAAATATTATTAGTCTTTTATTTGGATATTTTGAAGTTGAGTGTTTTTACGAATAAAGAATGATTATATACTCGAGATATTGCTAATCTATTAGGGAATTAATGCATTCGGATTCCTATAGAGGTAATAGAAATAAAAACTAATCATTTCATTTTTGTAAATTTTTATTGGATATTATCGTTATATATTAATATGTCTCCCGTCTAATTGAAAGATTGAAGAGCGGTGTACCGGTCTTTTACGTCTACTGAGGATAAATTCAGTACTATTAGGAGAGTGTGTAATAGGACGCAATATCGCAGTGTGCAGATAAAAAGAAGAAAATTTTCGGTGCAAATTTACCAACTCATACGCTCACTGTGCAAGAATTCATGAGTCTCAAAATTTAGTGCAAAACATCTCAAGAATAGCGGTAAATACTCCTTGATGGCGTTGAGCAATCAAGAACCTAAGTTAATTTATTATTAGGCGCCATAGTAAATGACAGGTGCGTGTAGGCCTTTCATTTTTTCGTTACTTTTTTTCTGTTCTTACTTCCTTTCTGCATTCGGGAACAATCTCCATATCTCCACAGGCAGCTATACTTAATTTATACACTCGCTTGATATGGAGGTCGCTCGGGCGCTGCTATAATGCCCTCTGGCGGGCAAGCTTCTCTTGAGGCGACTTAAGTTTCCACTCTCAGGTGCTCGGGTCGCCGCGCGGGGCCAGAAGTTCACCGGACGAGGACCATCGTGTCGTAGGACATTGTAATTTAACGGAGTCTATGTTCTAACAATCTCTCCGTGCTCGCTCGCCATGATTTTTTCATTAAAGGAATAATTTCTATTGCGCGTATGAAGTTGTCTGTTGGGGATATTGGGCGCAATTGGCGGACGGAGATAAGGCTCTGTTGCGCGTGTGCTTAGTGCGGTAAAGTTCCGAGGGGTGTGCACAAGAGACTCAGCACATTGAACGGGTCTGCTTCAGCAGGTCGATAGCTACGATGTATGAATGGGTCTCGGATAAAGAATCACGTTGTAGGTAAACAGTATACTTATGTGTGCATTTTTTTGGCTCTCGTTGGAAGGTACGTGGTGAGCCAAAGGGGGGTTCATATAATGTGAATTAGGTTACCCTCGCACCATAAAATACTCTGTATTAGTTTTTAAGATATATTGTATTTGATTTATTTGGATAATTATTCTATTTTCTACAACTAGGTTTGTGGGACATAATTATAATTTTGGGTGGGAATCGCTCATGGGAGAACTAGAAAAATATTTGCTAC